CTTACTTAGATATCTCTACAAACACAAGAAAGTTTGCCTCCACTTAAACAACAATAAATGTAGCGATCCCGCTGATGGCACCGGTTTTTGCTAAAGTAGTGTATGCGATATGCTCAAAGCGACAAAAGAACCGTTGTAATCTACCCATGTAACACTTGCTCAATTTGGTCGAATATTTTTTTTGGAAACAATAGGGTGAAGAAAGTAAGGCAAGCGTGGGGCTATGGGAAGGTCAAAATAAAAGTTTCTATAGCGTAATGTACCGATAGCATCGCATCGCATCTAATTTCTAAGTCAGCTTCGTACATTTTGGTTCACTGGATTCTTTTCACTTTAAATAGAAGTGGGTACATTCTCACGGTCGAATTAATTGAAAATTTTCTTAATAATTAACTAGTTATATGCAATATTTTTGCATACATCGAACGCGAAGTAGAGATGTAGAGCTCCATTGTCTTAAATTAAATCACTTCCACCAGCTTTATTTTGCACTTATATAATAAAAAAACACCAATAGCGAGGAATTCCAATTAATAACTATCACGTAGCTATAAGATTATCTAATTCGATTATTATAAAAAAAGACGATTGAAAATAATTTCATTTGGACATCAGTTGGTCAGTATAGATGTGAACAAGATATCTTTATAAAAATAACTGAATTTGTCACTTTGTTTTTTTATTAGCTTTAGATTTTGATCCTTAGAAAGATTTTTGAATTTCACTATTGTAAACCGTCCCTTTCATTATTTTTTTATTTTAAGGCGGCAGTAATTCATATACCCGCGCTTCGCGCTTAAGGCATGCAAAATTCAATGCGAGTTATTAGCTTTTATTACTTTATTAACTGTGGAACAATTTTTTTCGGTGACAAAATACGAATCACCGGTATCAAACAGTCAAAAAATCGCTTTAATTAATCAGAAACAATATTTTTGTAGCTTTAAACGATTTCGTAACCGTGTTTCGGTAATTAATAAAAGTAAATTGATTATTCAAAACATTACCTGAGCGTGCGAGGTTTATTTTAGGAATTATGTATAATAGTAAATATAGCAAAATAATTTAAATATTCTTTAAAATCGCTGTAAATTATGACATGTAATATGCTTAGGTGTAACTCGAAAGATGAGGTATGTTACTCTCATCATACATCAAGTTCTGAAAATCGATCATTTCTCTCATTGTTAATGTTCGCAATGTTTTTATTACGAATATTCTTGTCTAAAAATTGGTATGGCTAATCCATATATTTTCGAACTCAATATCTGTATTAATTGAATCCAGTTGCTCGACAATCTACTCTTCATGAACGTGTTTTTCTTTAAGTACGAGTAGATAAAACAGTTATTTTTATCTATATCAAAAATACACTCAAACGTTTCAGTGTATGTACATTTTCAGTAGATCTTTTTGTATTTCTCTTATTTTTAATAATACTGCATTGTCAGATATCATTTTTAAATTCTTAAAAAAATGCTTGATACCTCAGTAATAAAGTAAGCTGCTTGGAAGTGAATGAGCCGGCCTTTTATAACGTACACAATGGAAAGTATTGATTGCTCAATATTTGAATGTAAACCGGTAAAAGTAAATTAAAAATCACTGATTACAGGCTGTATTGTACACGAATAAATGTATTTCTGTCGAAATAATGCATGTAGTAATTGAATTTGTATAAATATATGACCTTTTGCAAATTACCGCTGAATGAATACAGCAGTAGTTGCTGCTGTATTTTAATTACTGATTAGAGGAGTAGTAAAATTTCCAGTCTATTCCAATCATTTTCCTTTTGCTTATGATATATGGTAGTATATCTCGACCCACCCATACCGGTGATGGTAGCAGCACGAAAGCAGGTGAGAGACGTTTAGTATCATACAAAACGTGGTAACTGTGTCAAATCCTTGATAAAACGGAAAAGGTCCCTGTCCAACTATAGACATTTGATTTGATGAATTAGATTAAAATTACTTATTTATCGCCAGTTTGTTATTATTATTAAATATGAAATATCTGGAGCAATGATTTTTATCCTGAATTATGAATTAGTCATTTTTATTATGAATTAGTCAATCCGCCAGCCTAGCATAGCGGTTACGGCAGATACTTCTAAATACTAGAGACATATTACTAACAGTAGAAATTTTATACCCTAATGACTATGATGATGACATGAAGTTAGCGATTATGTATATTTCGGATTGAGTTACCACTCGTTCCAAAATGGAACTAAGCAAGCGTTCGCTAAAGTCGTGAGGCTTAGCGTGAATGCGTTTTCACAGCCCAGTACAAGCTGCACAAAATATTTGCGTATTCACATTATTATAAAACTCAATATGATGTAAGCACACCTAAATTAAGCCAATATTTTTTGAGGAACTCCAAGCATGCAAGCACGTGTAATAAAAAAGCCTCTGTATCCGCTTTGAAACACGCCTGTGTTCTAAGTAATTATAGATTTTAGCGTGTCAAATATCATTGACGATATTGAACTTGTACCATAAAATAAATTTCCGTGTAAATCGTGCAGTCCTTGAATTAGGAACAAAATAACCCGAAGCTCTTGTGACTTACCCGCTCCGAATATTATATTATCTTTAGAGTTTTGGGTACTTACCAAGACAAAAGAACTTTAACTTAATTAAATAAAAATTAATTCAGCCATAGTGTTCATATAGAAGAGTACCGCTTTTTTATCAATAAAAATAATATATCTTCTTACTTTTTTTTTACAGCCCACCTGATGGTAAGTGGATGCTGTGAGACGCTGATAGACATAGACTCAAAATGCAGATGCGTTGTCACCCCTGAGGAATTAGATGGAATTTACAAGTGGTAGAGCCATGCTGCAGTTATATTAGTAGTATAGTATAGTATAGTAGAATGGGTCGGCTCGACCGGGGAAGGAGCACGCTCTTACAGAATACCAGCGTAAAATAGTAGCTTAGTGCTGCTGTGTTTCGTATGGTGAGTGTAGAGATCTAGGGACATTTTTACTGGAAACGAGACATTCCATCTTAGTCCTCAGGGGTGACGACGCATCTGCGTTTTGATTCTTAATCGAGGACAAATGTAGTTGTCTATGGGCCACAGCATCCACTTACCATCAGATGGACAGTGTGCTCGTTTGTCACCCTTATTCTATAAAAAAATACGCATTACGAAAGATGAAGTAAACCATAGTTCGAATGCGTGGGATGTCGACAACAATAGGGTGGAGATCCTCCCTCCCTACCTACCTAGCGTCTGGTTCATAGATAATACATAAAGTCTGGTTGTTCTGTGGTGGAAAGAGGAAGGAGGTGTTAAGTCTCACATTCACGTCACATTTTTCGGAATATATCCTATAGATTACCGGGAGACTGGATACACTGCGCTTGTGCGCGCTAAACTATCCTGTTTTCAACCAAATCAAGTACACGCAGAGCCATGGGAGCTCAGATGGTTAGCGCTCGCTGTAAATACCACAGTACGCGAGCAACCCGGGTTCGATCCCCGCCGGCACCAATGTAATTATTAATTGCATTATTAAATGCTGATATACCACGGCTCGACGGTAAAGGAAAATATCATGAGGAAACCTGCATGTCTGAGAAATAAGAAGAAAATATTTCGAAAACTTGTAAAGTTCACCAACACGCATTGCGCCAGCGTGGTGCATACTTAAAACCCTCTCAGAAACGAGAGGTGGCCTGCGCCCAGCTGTGGGACGTATATAGGTAATATATAAGAGAATTTTGTGCGTACTTAAATTTACAACTTTAAGTACGCACAAAATTCTCTTTGCACGCATTTCCTTGCAGAATGCAACCTTGCATTCATTTTACAGTACCAGGCTATATGAGATAGAAGTAATTACATCACCGGACATGTGCGTTATAGAAAGTAAGGAGCTCCCCAGCGTAAAGTATTTTCAGCTTTTTGCAGCTGCTTTGGTGTTGTAGACAATGAACCGCCCAAAGTTTAGGTTCTTTTGTAATATAGTGTACTCTAAAGATCCATAGCGGAACGTATTTGCCCAGGGTGAATGGGCTTCTTTTTGCGGTGAATAAACACGCTTGTGTTTTTAGAAGTGTCAAATTTTAGTCTTTCTTAATTCGACCGCATGACGTTCAGAGTCAAGAGAGATTACTATTTTTTCGTTTGAGTTTGTAAGTATCGTCATCCAGTTTTATAATTCAATGAAGTTAATGATTTTAAGTTTAGTTAAAAAAGAGCATAATGCGTCTACAACGGTGATTTTAAATCAATTTACTTTAACTTATTACAAGAAATAATTTTGACGAATGATTGCTCAGATTGAATTGCGAAAATATGAAATATCTGCCAATTTGAGAATTATTTGTAACAATGCTTATTCGGCCTGTCGACTATTTAAGTGAAAGTAATTTGTAAAGTTCAACGCAGACACGATAACATCAAGTACATTCTGTAATCTGTTTTTTTTTTGTCGGCAAACATTCATCGAGTAGTGAAACTAACATAAAAATAATTTCATTTAGTTTGAGTAATACTGACCCAAGAGATATATTTTCACATGTTATTAACGATAAAAATTTAATTTTATATAGATAAATAAAAGGCAAAACCATAGGTATACTCTGTTAAAGAAAATGAAAAAATAATATTAAAGCTTTATATTATAGCGGTAATTTTGTAAAGCGATTGTCGTAAGAGGTAACTAAGAGAAATAAGAGAAAAATCTCATGACCTCCGTCAGATGGTTATATCACTGTTAACCAGATTCGAAGTACCCAGATCGATGACTTGAAGAACGTCAAGGTTGCGAGATATGTCTATAACCGATAATATTATATATATATATATATATATATCATTATATATATACCGATGATATCTATAACCGATAATATTTCCTTCCTATAATACTTTTTTTATTATAAGAGAGACTAGAAATGGTTTAATATGTAAAACATGTGCTATTTGGTGAATAAAAAGCTTTTTTGTTTGTATAGAGCGACGTAAATACTCACATTCAAGACACGTGGCGTTGTCAACTCGTGCGTAATACGGTTGACAAGAACAAACTCCTTTGTCGCAGCGAGAATTTGAAACGTTGCAGTCAGCACTCGTCTGACAATGAGCACCGAGAGGTCCACCGCCTTCAGCTTTTGTGATCTGTAAAACAACAATGAACATACGTGAAAAGTTACGAATAAAGTTGGAAGCTAAAATTAGCTAAAGGGATTTTTTTAGCCAAGTCATTCACCTTTCCTCCTCCTCCGTCCTTCTCTGTCTCTACAAATGTTCAGATAATATCAAGCAGTCTAGTATTTTTTCGTGTGATGTATTCTGTAGGCATTATATCTCTGTTCAGGTGAACACCTTGTCGGAGTTATTTTAAATTTTAAATTTTTTATTTATGCATTAAACATCTATGAATTAAATTTACTAGGTACTATCTCTCTTCTCCTTACCTATACATATAGAAAAATCAATGCTTGCATTGCAGTGTTTCGACCTGAAGTTGAAAAGAGCCAGTATAATAATTACAGCCTGTCATCGACTTATTTCTTAGAATTAAAAATAGCGTTTGTTAATTGTAAAAAATAGTGAAAAACTTCAGGCGTGACTACACTGCAAATTATTGGAGAATAATTTGTTTATACTAAGGTGGGACTTGTTTAATAAATTAACCCTTGTTTCGTTTACTACATATAAGTCGGTGATATTGTCTTACTATTGTGTCTGAAAATCATACAGAGAAAGTGTTAATATAATAACAACTGTAAGTGTTCTTAAGGTTAATTTTGGGCGCTAAAGTAAAATATTAGATTATGAACTTGTTCTTGACTGCGGTCCCACCAAAGGCTCATGCTGAACGCACAGTTCTCTTGCTGCGGGAATTCATTTGTAAACAGCTGCAAATACATAGTTATATGCCGGACGGTTTCCTGACGGAGTACATACGTAGTAGGTTTTACTTCTATTTAATTTTCAACATTCTCTAAACAACAAAAAATTATGCCCACTGCAGTATCCCATTTTTTATATAATTGAGAGTGACAAACGACCACTTAACGGTACGTAATCGTGTAGCTTATATACACAAACATCTTTCATCGATTATGAAGCAAAATATAATGCAGATATCTTGTCATCCCTGAAAACTATGATTATCTATTGGGATAAGTAATAGAAACAGGAGACCACTTCACTTAAAACTAGGCATTCAGTTTAGTTGTTAGGGGTGATAATGCACCAGTATTGATTATATTATATCCATAAAGTCCATAAAGTGGACAGCTACTTTTGACAGTAATTTTTACTCAGATCTCATCATTTATCTAGAAAGTTTCTTAGATTAATTGTAGTCGAACCTGCGTCGAACATGCTTATTAAAAGTTATTTGATAAGTGATACTTTGTTTAACAAACACATAAAATATGGGTAAAAGATCAAGGATGAAACATCAAATGTTTAAAGCGAATTGCAAAAGTGGGGGCGCTATCGGCGCCGGTTTACTTTGCATTCTGTATGTATGAATTGTGTTAGATCATAGTCGCAAATTGCAATGACAATCTTAGTTAACGCGTTGTGTCTTCGCACGAATATGAGGATGTCCGTTAGGCCCACGCGCTTTTTATACGGCGTGCTGACAATTAGATATTCCTCACCAGAATAATCTAAGAGAGAAAACAAGACGTGCGCAAAACCCGTTATGTAAAGAATCATATACGTGTTTTTGATTACTTTAGTTTATCACGCAATAAAATCAGCAAACATTTCAAAATGTACCTAAAAGACCACACGACGATAAAAAGTAACGATGCATATATTATCACCCTACTTACTATTTGTTGTACCTTAATTTACATGTAATTTTAAATTTATAGCCGACTTCATAAAGAAGTTTAGCTTTACAATACAATAAAGGAAATATAATTTAACCAGCCACGATGGTAATTGAAATCGGCATAGGTATTTTTTAAATTTCCGCTATGAAAATCAACGATGTTCAAATTCATAGATAACACATAAAGTCTGGTTGTTCTGTGGTGTAAAGAGGAAGGAGGTGTTAAGTCATGAGATTCCTGCCCACATTTTCCGGAATGTATCCTATAGATTACCGGGAGACTGGATACACTGCGCTTGTGCGCGCAAAACAATCCTGTTTTCAACCAAATCACCCCGGTTTTCGAAAATCGCAAAATTTTGAACGGCTCGACCAATCGACACGTCGTTCATTTGTAGTTTGTCGTTGTTCATTGCCATTAGATTTCATGTGAATTTGAATCAATTCGGCTCAGTAGATTTTGAGAAATCTTAAAACTAAAAAAAAAAAAATTGAGATAATTTTTAAACTGATGTATCCATTGATTCACCCAAAATCTAATCAGCTCTTAACCTCAATAAACAACAGCAATTGTCCCAAACCACATCATAATCGGTACATTCGTTCATGAGAAATCGTTGTTGAAAAATTGTATTTGTATGACCTTGCTCAAAGACCTCAAAAACGTCATAATAGGTGGAATTCGGAGCACTTTGCATTTAAAATTAACGGAAAGCACGGATGGCCTGTAGGGTCTACCGTATTTTAAATTTTTTCGTGAGCTGCTCAGACAATTTAAGGTTCTTAACATAGTTAATGATTCGCTTCAGAAGTCTCTGTGAAGTATTCTAGCTCAAATGTGAGTTAGAGGTGACACAACGCAAACCTTACTTATCTCAAGATAGCTGCAGTTATTCACAGAGAGCGGGAGAAACTATAATCAGGTGTACTGTAAGCTCGTTTGTTGTATAATTCTCGATTAACTTGACCAATTTTTTCACTTCTAGCTGAAAAAAATTTCTTTGCTCAAAAATGATTGATTGTTTCAAATCATCATAAAAGTTAAAAGTTACAGCCTATATACGTCCCACTGAGGGCACAGGCATTAATTTCTGAGAAGGTTTCAAATCATCATTGTTACATACATATTGCGTCATCGATGTTAAATTTGATCTCTTAACGTCAATGATTATGGATCACCCTGATATTACAGTCTACTATATCTCATACCTACCTCTGATCTTATTGCCCTGGATTCATATACAATGTTTTATTACTACAAATTAATAATTATTTAATACATATGCAATTCTAAATTTAATAGCCAAGATGTGTGCTGAAACAGATTTTTTTTATTTATCTATTATATGGCTCTATTAGCTATAGCGCTTGACTTCTTTGCCACCTAAATGATAAGTTGTAAATCGTGATGTAGCCAAACATCTAAAAGGGCAAGGCTACTCACACATAGTGAGTGTGTTTTAGAGTTTTATTGTGCTGTTCCATGTCGTTGACATTGCATCCGAACCTACCTGCGATCTTATCGTACTAAAGGTACAATGGATGCGGGTAGGTTAGGAAGAGTGACTTACGGAGAAAATCTTCACTAAATATATTAGGGTGTTACCAAACCAATCAATCGATAATTTCTACCACACCGATCGATCGATGTTAGAATGGATTAGTCGACGTCGATGGAGCTACTTGATTATTTGAGATCCCTCCCTGCTACACCGACCACTATTTAAAATGTCGTCTAGATGAATATAAGCTATCTCTGGCCTTCAAAAAGGTCACATCTAGAGTCTTCTGCGTTTGCATCTCCGTAATACGAGCATCTTAATACATATCTTAATACATTCCGAAAGATACTGATAATGAGCCCACAACCACATCGTTTAACGCTGGTGTTCTACAAGGCTGCGTGCTATCACCAATGCTGTTTCTTCTGCATATTAATGATATGTTACAAACTGATAACATTGATTACTATGCAGACGACATCACTGGTGATGCCTTATACACCGGCCATGCCAATATTTATCCGGGAAATCGTCGCCGAGTACCAGGACAAACTTATGTCTGAAGTTGAGTCTTCGCTTAACAAAACCTTGGATTGGGGGCAACTAAATCTATTCCAATCCAATCCTCAGAAGACACAAGTTTGCGCGTTAACCTCTAAAAAGAACCCCTTTGTCGTATCTACTCAGTTTGAAGGCACTCCCCTTGCTGTCTCAGCTAGCATCAAAATCCTCGGCGTCGACATATCGAATAGTGTGCAGTTTCATGGTCACTTGGAGGGGAAGGCCAAATTGGCCTCTAAAAAGCTTGAGGTGCTCAGCAGAGCGAGACAGAATTTCATGCCGGCAAATCGCTTGCAACTTTACAAAGCGCTAGTTCGCTAGTGGAATACTGTTCTCATCTCTGGGCCGGGGCACCCCAGTGTCAGCTCCTTCCACTTGACCAGCGTACTGTCGACGACCGAGTTCTTTCTGATCGGTTCGATTCACTGGTGCTGCGTAGGGATGTTGCATCCCTTTGCGTTTTCTATCGTATCTACCATGGGAAGTGTCCTGAGAAATTCATCGGATTAGTTCCAGCCGCCAAATTTCACGAACGCACATCGCGTCAAAATTCATATTACTATCCTCACCATCTGGATGTTTGGCTGTCCACCATTGTGTGTTTTATTAGGAGCTTTCTTCCTCGTACAATTTCTCTGTGGAATAGTTTACCACCGGCAATTTTTCCGGTCCGATACGACTTAAGGACCTTCAAGAAAAGAGCTTACTCCTTTCTAAAAGGCCGGCAACGAATCTGCAATTCCCATGGTGTTGCGGTTCATGGGCGGCGGTAGTCACTTCAAACACCTCTTCTATAAAAAGAAACGTCGAACAATGGTATCGATCGACGATAGATCGATTGGTTTGTAACACCCTAATATATCTAATGCAGTTGATACTTTGATATTAAATCGTTTATCCCGTCGCATTTAAAATCGCCGGTATTTATTAAAATATGATAAATGTCATAAGGTCATGACAAACCACTGCTGGCTCTACAAAATTGAGAGAATTTGATCTAATTATTACAATAAGCAGAAGGCGTGGTGCTCACAGTGAAGATGAATGAATGGAGACACCAGAAACGCGGATTCATCTTCTGGTTGTGGTGAAGATTCTGTTCGTCTGCTCTATTATAAGTATTCCTCGTCACTTCGTAAAAGGTGAACTTTTACGAAGTGACGTCGCATGCCGAACATGGATATTTATTTCTGATAAAAGCCTGGATCACTCTCGTTTTTGCTTTCTGTCTGTACGTTAAGTTTTAGTAAGATTAGTCA